TTTCAGTTAAACTCTGAGCCAGTACAAGTTAGTATCCCAATGAAAAAGCATCAGAATGTCACACATGCTGGCTGTCTTGTTGTTGCTTGAAAAATTACCCCTGGAATTATACTTGACAATGCCTGCTAAGTCACAACCTCAGATAACTCCCGTTTTTCTTAAGGGCTCATCCAACTCTTCTGAAACAATTTCAATTACATTTGAAATGTAAATGCTATTACTCTTTCTTCCTCTTTTGATTATGATAATGATTAGTCAGCAAGCACTGTATTAGTTTTCCATGTCACACTTTCATATAGTATTATATGCACACACTATACATTATCATAAATTTAAAAATAACTTACTATATATTTAATATCAGATAAACAACATAGATTAACAGAAAATATTTTCCTTACCTATTGTCAAAAACATGTCATGTACTTCCAGCAGCCCCAGACCAGTTAAAAGTTGAAGCTTTTTAAATCAATTTTAATTAGATCAACTGTAAATAAACCTTTAAATAGTGACTCAGAAACAATTATGGTAATTAAGACAGTTTATGAGTCAACAGATGTAAAAATTGGAACTTTGAAAATTATTTACTAGTACTTAAAATTTTTAAATATTTAAACTAGTTTTTTCTGTCTCTTCCAATATATTTATCTTAATTCATTTTGAGCTCCTTTAGATTTTATATTTGAATGCTTAAGTCTATTTGCATGTAAGTTTCTTTGGGCATGTGGGCAGTCATACAAATATCACTCATACTTTGATAACTACACCATTTACATGACAATAATTGCTGAAGCCTACTCATCATCCAGTGTAGTAAATGTAATTGTGCATGAAGTTAAAATAATTTAAAACATTCTCAGAGGGCAGAGTGAAAAGGCAGCTATCATTACCTAAACATTATTACTTCCTGTCTATCTTGTAGTAATCTAACCACAATTGCAGTCAGCCTCAGCTGAGCTTTGTATCAAAGGCAAAGGATTCCTGGCTTTATCTAGGTTATTGATCTACTCATTGCTTCACACAGTGAATCTTGTCTCTTTTCTAACTTTGGTCTGCAGCTGACCTTGGAATATCGCTTTAATATAGAGACCGATTTGTGAATCCAGAAAGACAATTTAGGCTTGATCTGTGCAAGTCCACTGTCTTGGTAAGATTTAGTTTTCGTATCTGTTATGCTGGCTTAAAGTTATGCAATGATAACATTTCAGAATAGGGGCTTGGATGTATTTCCTTGATGTGGGCAGTAACAAGTGAAATGCAAATATTTTTTTAAGAAATGCAATTGTTCAAAACATGCATTACTTTGTGCACCTTGCGTTTCTAATGGTGTCCCCATATGGACAAATGGAAAATATGTAAATGTATTTCTGCACTATTGTCTGCGCTTGAAATTAAGTCATTGCCTCCCATATTGAGGTGCATCCATCCTTTTTCTTTCTACTCATAGCTCCAAGGATTTTATACCAGGAAATCACCACCACATGCATATAAACTTAGTAGTAGGAGAGTGCATAAATTCCTTTCATGTCATTATTTGATATTCTATTCATTCATACTGTATTTACAACCATGAGTTTCCTTTTATAAAGTAATATAGGCAGTGGAGTGTTGGTAATTTTTTTTAATTAAAGTTTATTGGGGTGACGATTGTTAGTAAAGTTACACAGATTTAAAGTGTACAATTCTGTAATACATCATCTATATGGTGATGGAAGGAGAACTGACTCTGGCTGGGTAACAATGTAACAACTGGCTCTCCCGAAGAAAAAAGGTAGTGTTTGCTGATTTCCACACTGGTCTAAATGTAACTACCATGGCTGACTTTAATATATAACTAAATATAACAAAATGGCATCTCTAGAAGTGGAGCTGGAAGAGATGGCACCATTGGTTCTTGGGAATTGGTTCTAGCTGGCTCTAGTACAACACTGAATTTTAGTGACCAGATAGTACATATTTAAATGTTTGTGGAGAACCTCCTGATTTGTTTTGACATTGATTTTTTTTTTTTAATCAATCAACTGTTCTAGTCTCTGGTTTGCCTCTCTCTCAACTATTATACCAGATAACCATATGTAGCATTAGATTTCTGAAAAGAAAGTGAAAATAACAAATTCACCATCATTACAATTAAGCTTCACTACAGTACTTCATATAAATTCCACCTATGTTAGGGAAATTCTTCCCATCACCTCAAGCATTTTTTAAAAATGCCATTGAATTAAGTTCAATACTGTATTGATATAATCTTTCACACATAAAATGGCAATTGGGTATATGCAAGAATTTCAAATCTTTATTTAAATTTGAGTCTTTTCCCAATATATTACTACTAATATGAAAAAGAAACCCAAGAAAATATATTCTTTAAAAGGAGAGAAAGCAAGGTGAATAACATGATATTCCTTTTCTAAAATACATTCAAACCTCCATTAAGTGATATGTGCAACAATCAGCAGTTTTGACATCATAATCCAAATGTTCTAAAGTATTTTATCGTCTTGCAGACAACAAGGGGATTATTACAGAACTGTTGTCTCAGCACCTTGCTGACTCAATACCTACACAATTCCTATACCACACTGTGACTTTATGGAAAAGGATATAAGTATACTATGTTTGTTTGGATTTTTTTTACTTGAAAAACTTATGTGACTAAAAGTAATGAACAGCTTCTCTGCTATAAGATTTGTTTTTCATACATATTAATACAGCAGGAAGCATATCTATCTAGTCATGAAACAATGACTACAAAACTTTATTCAAATGAAAGGACTGTTTGCAGATAATCAAATTTATTCAATTCTTTTGACGAATCTGAAGGCCACTTTCACATACTTCATTTCTAAAGGTGGGCTGGAAGTGTACAGACTCCTACGTAGTTTCTCCTAGTGTCATCAAAATATTGATATTCTAGTTCCGTTGTCTTTCAGAAAGAAGTGCTTTTAGAACATAATTTTCTATACAGTGTCCACTATTTGTAGATTAGGAACCCAACAATTCTTTCTAAAAGAAGAAAAAAATTTCATTCTTACTTGAATATATGCACATTAAACAAGTATTGTTCTTGGAAAAAAATGATAGGTAGAAATATTTTAGTGATAAAAATTCTTTTTAAAGCCTATCTCAAACTTAAACATGTGATCACTTAAAATTTATCTCCTCATTTGGCACATCTAAACCAGTATAGAAATTATACATTGCAAGGTTTATTCTTGAGGAACATATTTGCATCAGAATTTAAAGATGGGCTTTGAAATTTATAACATTATATTGTTTATGATATATTTTTAAAAATCAGTTTTTGACTCAATATGTTTACAGCAAAAGAGGTTGGGGTAGAACAAATTCTCAAAAGTCTTTGAGGGCATATAGGACTTTTGACCTTGAAAAATAAATCTTGCATCAAAGAACATCTCATTTCTCTCAGAAATCTTCTTTCTAAAATACAAATATTTTATTCCGATGTTTTGTACATTCCAATGGCTCGGACCAGTGACTTCTATGTCCCTGTAGCTGTGCTCCTCTCTGAGATGTGAACTGCAACAGGGCGCAATCGCTCCACTGTTTCCATGCTTCGTTTCCTTCATGTAGCTCAGACTGGAGAAATAGCAGCATGTTCTGATGAGCTTGATATGATGAGGCAGAGAGATGGACCTGCATTTTGTAGAGATTGGAGCTCCAAAATAAATACAACACCATGTATCAACTAAAAAAAAGAACATACATATATATTCTCCTGTACAAATCAGAAGAGATAATAATAATTTAAAAAAATCAACGAATAAACAGCAACTATTTTTCATACCAACACAAGCATCTCAAAACGATTGCACACTTTAAGAATGATTTACCTTTTTCTTATTTGGAACACTTCACATTTCTTTGCTAAACAATGGTTTACGTTGCCTGAAACCAAATTTTAGTGGTTTGTATTGGAGGACTGGGGAGGATTTTCTAAGAATTTATATATTGCTAAATAAAATATATTTCCTAATCCACAGCAATAAAATTCTGCTGGATTCTCTAATCTAGCAAGCTAAAAGCATCACTATAAATTCAATCTGTCCCAAGTTTTGATATGCGAGAAGTTGCAGGGCTTTTCAATGGCACGTTGTGTTCTGTTCTTCTCACTGGCAGTACCATGAAGGTATGTATGTACAGGGCATCCTTGGTTCACTGACGACACCGGGCACTACTTTCTCATAGAGGTTAGGTGCCTTGGCAGGTGTCTGAGAGTTGCGATCTATTCACAAACCACTGAGCATTTCTTTTTCACCAAAAAAAAAGCCTTCAAATGCCCAGAGTGTGTGGTCAGTGCGGTCCCTTGGATCAATCTCATGAACATATGCTTCACCAAAGCAGAAACCCAAGCCGTTAAAAATGGAGAAATATTTACAACCATTTTCTCTTGTCAGTGGAGTTCTTGGGTTCTGCGTGTAGTGTTTTGTTTTGTTTTTGTTTTTTGTGTTTTTTTGTTGTTGTTGTTTGTTTGTTTTTTGCTTTTACTTGGTCTTCAGTACATGTGAAAGCAGGGCTCCAGGGCTATGAGTACAAGCTCTCCTGGCCGGTGCCGTACATGTCTGCCAGCCGTTTGAATCGAGGCCCCCAGTCACTCAGGTAGTCATAGTTCTGATCCGAGTTCGAACTGATGGAATCTAAGGAGCTGAGGGACTCGGCGACGGAGCCGTTGCCTTCAAACGCGTATGTCTGCAAGGAGTCGTAGGGGGGCGCCCCGGGGTCCACGTCAGCCTCCTTCAGCCGCTCCCAAATGAATTCCCGAAAAATGACATTATCTGGGATGCTTTTGAACGTGGGCCGACTCAAGAACTGCATCTCTGGCGTCACGTCCCTGCGGGTCTTGTTGTCTCTGATGACGTTGAGGTTTCTCAGCGCAGCCATGTCAAAGGCTTCCGTGTCCTCCTCTCCACCACCCTCGTCGTCGTAGCGGACGATGTTTTCTCGGATATCTCGCTCTTCATCGAAAATGAGGGGCTCCTTTTTCCGCCTTCTCATGGTGACAATCAGGAGGATCAGCACTGCAACAAGGAGAAAGCACAAGGCAAGGCGTCAGCAAGGCCCCGGCTGCCCCTTCTGCAGGGGCCTCTGATGTTGACTCCAGGTTTTTCTGCCCTTTGAAAGGAAATGCATTGGCTGCCGGCTTACAGGGGAATTCGCCACTGCAGATGTGTTAAAACTGCTAAAATGCCTTTCAAACAGGACGCTTTATTCCATCAAAAGAAATCCCTTTCCACACCTGCTCAGAATTGATTGCCTCCCTCTTTAACCAAACCACCACCGTATTTGATAGAGCAAATTGAAGGGACAGTGCAGGATAAATATTATAATTTCAAAGCTGTGGAACACAAAGGGTTTTTTTTGAACTCCTTAATTGCTGGAAAGGCAAAGTGACATTCATAAATGTTTTGGGTATAATTTAGCAACAGCAGTTTCAGAAGGAAATGGATTCCAGCATTCGGTCAGGTTCTTTGAAGAAAATGCCTGGTACTTGTCTATGAAACTCAGCTGTTAAAGAAAACCCAGCGTGTCAGACCACATACGAAGATTAAAAGCTTCTCTGTGATAAATTGAGTCCCACATTTAGCATGAAATATTAAACTTGGTCTTTATGCATTATACCAGGAGAGATAATATAGGTTGTGAGATTTTCAGCATTAGCTAAAGGTAGATTTAAGAAATCAAACATCCCTTCAATGTTAGGAATTTTCCTTCCCACATCAAAATTAATAATTAGATAATAAAGTGCATGTTTGCACAGGAGAGCAAAAAAGATCAAAGGCCCTGGCTATACACACGACTAAGGAGCCGGCTCTTCTCTGCGTGCTAGCTGAAAGGGGAACACTGGATTTCATGGCCCCTGAAGTTAAAATGCAGTAGGAAAGATATTATACATTTTGGAATTTAGAGATATACAAATTAATGAATTATCTTTAATTATCTGTCTACAAGAAAAATAACTTTTTAATAATTTTTATTTTTTAAACATCAGCCACTTTTTGTTTTTGAAAATCTAAAATGCCCAAAGAGTCATTATTCTCAGCATATTTTTAAAAAGAAAATTGAAATATTTATATTTAAAATGTCTTGCAAGGTTTTACTGTGGCATTAAGAATACACTTGAAGATAAAAATATAAAAGCCAAGATGGGTATCAGTGTAATTCAGAGTAACTAAAAGCAATGGCTGGGAGTAAGGCGTGTCCCATCCCTCCTCAGTTTTAAATAACCAAACATCTTAGTACTTAATTTTAAATGATTTTATTATCTTCAGCTAAAAGTACATATTTTCTTAGGTATCTGTCTGCCATCTGCTTCTCCATCATCAACAGAGATGTGACTGCTGAAGACATTTTCATTGGATGTCTTGGAAATAGCTGTGAAACCAACTGTTTACTGTGACACTTGCCCCCTCCCCCCACTTTCCCATTTGACCCTGACCTGTTGCTCACACATATGCCTTACTGCCAGCCTACAATTTAGAAACTGAGACATTTCTGAGCCTCTCTGGCCACCTTCTCATGTTGCTATGGCACAAATATGCCTATTCTCTACTTTGCTCCGATTTATTACATTTGAATGCTCTCAACTGGCTTCCTCAAAATGGCAGATATGTAATTCAAAAGTTTGTGTGTAATTCATTTCTCTGTTAGTTCCCATAAGTAGCCTCGTACTCACCTCCCTTCTCTGCCAAGTGAATTCCCGACTCTTGTCCCTTCTTGTCTTCTGAGAATTCACGTTTCCACCACTCCAAAACCTTATGGTTCCCAGAGTCCATGCCAGAATGTTAAGACATACCATTGACCCTGACGGCTATCCTGTGGGGTACTTTCCTACTTGGCAGCTGTCTTAGACCCGTGAAACAACATGTCTACGGGCAGTGTAATAAAATGCAATAATTGGGGATGAGGCATGCACACCTCAGTCTGCCTCAAAGCCTTTGCACTCTCTATGATGCTATAAGCTTAGTACCTCTAGAGAAGGCAACTGGAATACAAGTCGCAAGCTCAAATGGCAATTGCTTGTTCAGAGAAAGACATCAGCCAAGTGTTAAGACATATGAATCAAATAATTTTAGATTTAGGTTAAACGCTAGTTTCTGAAACTTTTTACATAGTTCCCCCCAGATAAAAGTAATTGCAACAGAAGGAAAGTGGGATCAAATAAGGCTTCTTATTGAGAAATCACACAGAATAAGACAGAGAATGGAGAGGTGAGTATCAGAATTATGATGGGTGGACAGGTAGATGCAGGTGAAAATGAGAAATCTATACACACTGGAAAGCAAAGCTGAGACAGTAAATGTCCACTTGAGTGCAAAAGGGTGTAAGAAATGAATGGGCATGGAAGTGAATAAAGATATAAAGACAGTAACAACTATAAAATAAGCAGATACTCTATTAACTTAAATCAGTGTTGAAGTAGGCAAACCATTTCAAAATTCTCAATTTTCTTTCCTTCACATAATTAAAATGACTCTTCTCTCACGCACACACGTGCATGCACACACACACATTTGACCCTTGAACAAGACGGGTTTGAACTGTTTGAGTTCACTTATAAGTGGATTTTCAATTTTTAAAAAATTTTCCAATTACAGTTGACAAACATTGTTAGTTTCATGTGTACAACATAGTGATTAGACATTTATATAACTTACGAAGTGATCACCCCAGTAAGTCTAATAATTGTGTATGTGACACCATATATAGTTACTACAATATTATTCACTATATTCCTTGGGCAGTACTTTACATCCCCATGACCGTTTTTATGACTGGCAATTTGTACTTAATCCCTTCTTTTTTAACTTATCTCCCCGATTCCCCTCCCATCTGGCAGCCATCCATTTCTTCTATCTATGAGTTTATTTCTGTTTTGTTTGTTCATTTATTTAGCTTTTTAGATTCCACATATAAGAGAAATCACACAGTATTTGTCTTTCTGCATCTGACTTACTTTACTTAGCATAATACCCTCTGGTCTGTCACATTGTTCGCAAATGGCAAAATTTCATTATTTCTTATGGCTGAGTAGTACTCCATTGTATATACAAGTATGTACCACCTCTTATTTATCCATTTGTCTATCAATGGATAACTAGGTCCCTTCCATATCTTGGCTATTGTAAATAATGCTGAAATGAACATGGGGTGCATATATCTTTTCAGATTAGTGTTTCAGATAAATACCCAGAAGCGGGATTGCTGGATCATATTGTAGTTCTATTTTTAATATTTGAAGAACCTCCATAGTGTTTTCCAAAGTGGCTGTGCCAATTTGTAATCCCACCATAAATGCACAAGGGTTCCCTTTTCTCTACATCCTCGCAAACACTTGTTGTTTGTTGATTTATTGATGTTGGTCATTCTGACAGGTGTGAAGTGGTATGACATTGTGATTTTATTTTGCATTTCTCTGATGATTAGTGATGTTGAGCATCTTTTCAAATGTCTTTTGGCTGTATGTCCCCTTTGGAGAAATGTCTATTCAGGTCCTCTACCCAGTTTTAATCATATTGTTTATTTTTTGGTGGTGTGTGAGTTCCTTATATACTTTGGATATTTACCCCTTATTGGATGTATCATTGGCAAATATCTTCTCCCATTCAGCAGGTTGTCTTTTCATTTTGATGGTTTCCTTTGCTATGCAAAAACTTTTCAGTTTGATGTAGTCCCATTTGTTTATTTTTTCTTTTGTTTCCATTGCCTAAGGAGACATATCCAAAAAAATATTGCTAAGACTACATCAAAGTGTTTACTGCCTATGTTTGCTTCTATGGTTTCAGGTCTTACATTTAGTTTTTAATCTATTTTGCACTTGTTTATTCTTGTATATGGTATAAGACAGTAATCCAGTTTCATTCTTTTACAAGTTTCTCTCCAGTTTTCCCAGCAACGTTTATTGAAGACACTGTCTTTATCTATTATATATCGTTGCTCCCTTTGTCATAGATTAATTGACCATATAGGTGTGGGTTTATTTCTGGGATGTGTATTCTGTTCCATTGATCTGTGTATTTTTTATGCCAGTACCATGCTGTTTGGATTACTACAGCCTTGTAGTATAGTTTGATATCAGATAGTACGATAACTCCAACTTTGTTCCTCTTTCTCAATATTGCTCTGGCTATTCAGGGCCTTTTGTGGTTCCATATAAATTTTAGGATTATTTGTTCTAGTTCTGTGAAAAATGTCATTGATATTTTGATAGGCATTGAATTAAATCTCTATATTGCTTTGAGTAGTATGAACACGTTAACAATGTTAATTCCTCTGATCCATTAGCTCGGTATAGCCTTCATTTTACTTGTATCTCCTTCAATTTCTTTCTCCAATATCTTATAGATTTCTGAGTACAGTTTTTTTACCTCCTTGGTTAAATTTATTCCTAGATATTTTATTATTTTGATACAATTGTAAATGGGGTTGTTATTTTATTTTTCTGATAGCTCATTGTTGGTGTATAAAAATGACACTAATTTCTGAATATTGGTATCCTACTTTACTAAATTCACTTATTACTCTAATAATTTTTGGTGGGTTCTTTACAGCTCTTTATATACAGTATCATGTCATCTACAAATAATGACAGTTTTACTTATTCCTTTTCAATTTGGAGGTCTTTTATTTCTTTTTCTTATCTGGTGCTGTGGTTAGCACTTCCAATACAATGTTGAATAATAGTGGTGAAAGTGGACATCATTGTCCACATTGATCTTTAAGTTTTCAGCTTTTCATTATTAAGTATGATGTAGCCATGGGTTTGTCATATATGGCCTTTATTATGTTGAGGTATGTTCCCTTTATTCCCACTTGGCTGAGATTTTTTAATCATAAATGGATGTTGGGTTTTGTCAAGTGACTTTTCTGCATCTATTTGTATGACCATATGATTTTTATTCTTCATTTTTTTTATGTCATGTACCATGTTAAGATTTGAGGCTATTGATCCAGGCTTGCATCCTGGGAATAAATCCCACTCGATCATGGTGTGTAATCTTTTTAATGTTTTGCTGAATTC